ACGCCGGCCCCCGGCTGAGTGCCGCGGGAGGGGGCGGGAGAGTGGGAGTGGGAGGGGCGGCGGGAGGGGGGAGGGGCTGCGCGCGCCTGCAGGTTGGCGCAGTGAGGAGGCAGAGGGCTGCGAGTCCACCCGCCGCCCCTCCCCGCGCTCCTAGGCCAGCGGTGGCCGGGCGGCGGACCTGCCTTCCGCAGCCTTCCCTCAGCTGGGCTCCGAGTCTTCCCCTCGCATTTTTACTTGAAAGCGAAGAGCAGCTGGAGAAGTCGGCGCTGTCTCCGTGCCCCCTCCCTCCTTGGCATCACCCCGCCTTTACCCCACTCGCCGCCCCCGACCTCTACCTCCCCTCTTTCTCAAAGTTCAGTAACTTCCAGCCTCAGGAGCCCATTTTTCCCACCCTGGGGGACTCCGAACAGAGGGTGTCCAGCAACCCCAGAAAATGGCCCCAAGGACGAGTGTCTTCTTGAGCCTGGCACGATTTCCTTTGGAGGGTGTAGTGATGCAGACCCTCCCGGTGCTAACCCCTCGGATCCTGGGAGGGCGATTCCGAACCCCTTCTGCAAAGACTCTACCTCCACTCCGTTCAGAAGGCTCTGGGGCCCGAGCCTTGCGGTTCTCTTCTTGATTCCGGGCTCCCAGGGCCAGGTTTTACATCCCCAAAGCTTTTTACCCGGGCTTTCCATCCCAGGCCCAGACTTAAGACAGGCTGCCTCGACGATTTTTTAGAAATAAGGCGGAATATTAACAATTAAATCTCTTTATCTTTTTCTATTTTTGAAATCAACGTTTCTCAAAACATTCTTTGGTTTTCCAAAACGCTGAATAACAACTAGTGTTAAGGATTTCTCAGGTCCATTTAAAAGCTTGTTAAATGTTTGAAAGCTAGAGAAGTGTAATGGAGTGTTTAAAGGGAGCCACAGATGGTAAACTGAACTCTCTAGCCCTTGGCAGAACTGTTCCCCAGAACTGTCCACCTTGCATTATAGTTTCAAAGAAAGACATTCTGGGTTGGAATTTGATGAAATTCTGTGAGGGCAAGGATTGTGTATCATACCCTTTTAAAGTCTCCATATGAGAGGATGGTATTGTAATAATAGTTGAAATAGAATCCTATGAGCAGTCAATCTGAGGATGAAGCAACTGCATATAAACAACACACACAATTCTTGGTTATTCTAAATCGGTTTTCTTAGGAGCTGAATTGCATTGTGTAATGTGTACCCCAGTCTGTGGGTTATCTCTAAATCTCACAGTTATTTTGCAAGACACAGGTTATTCACCCCATTTTCCTGGTGAGGGAAGGAACTGAGACTCAGGCATGAGTCACACTTCAAAGCAAGGATCTGAACCATGGTTAAAAGGCTGCTAACGCTATACATTCCACTGTCTTGTCTCTCATATTTTGCTATTACAATTTAGCTTTCACTGCTTTTGCTTTTTAAAGTATAAACATACAATTTAAATGATTACAAGTATATATATATATATACATATATATATGTATATATATATCTTTTGTAATATTGGTGTTAGAAAAACCAGACTGCCCTTCTGCAAAGGCTACCTCTGCTTTTTGCTCTATAAGATTACACTGTAGGTCATGTGATTTATAGCCAAACCTTGGCAAGTGACAGATTTCCAATTCAGAGTACTAATGAAATGTTCCACTGTAGTAGAATTTAAACAAATGGTTTCCATATCAGGTCAGGTTTTCATATTGAATAGATTTTTTTTTCTTTACTATACCTGTTTAGGGGAAAACACTGTAGAAACTACTATCGTTATTTTTTAAAGGAATAGACTGGTAGTATATGTGTTACAGGCAAACTACTGAATTGAGCATTATAATCAATTCACAGATAATTTTTTATAATCAAAAATATCAGGCAAAGCATAGATTTTGTACTGTTTCATACTTCATCTATTTAGTGTACAGTGCCAGACATCAAAATGGATTCAACAATTTTAAATAAACCTGGGTGCAATCATATTCAGTTTTTTTCTCTCTTGGATCCCTGTCCAAACTCATTGATTATGACAGTCATATGGAATTTTCTGGTGGACCTTCAAAAGAGAATTTTACATGAAACTGAACTCAGTTCAAACTGTTGTAGAGAAAATAATATTTCTGAAGGTGGCCAATTACAATATGATAATCTTACACTAAAAAATATTATTGAAATGTATAAATATTATTGAATTTGTAATTAACTTCCATAGCACTTTTGCCTATACATTTTCATAGCTCTTATATGTTCTTAAGGCAGCATAGATGTTATGATTATCTATCCTATTAGTACATTGGCTTCTTTGGGAACTGGGACCACACCTGATCCTTTACAGTGCTAAATGGTTTTCATTTGATTTCAGTAGGCTTCAAGTTTATCTGATAAATGGAGATTAATCATTACTCCCTCAAATGATTGCTACAGGGATAAAATTATATAATACATAAGAAAACACCATATAAAGTATAGAGTGCTATGTTATTGTTATTAGAACATCAAGGCACAGGAATGTTCTTTATGTTATTCTAATGATGTTATTCATTTTCATTGGCAGTTTATCAATTAACCTTGATTGCTTCTAATTAATCATAGACACTGCACTCAGCAACAAATTTGCGTCTCATTAATGTTTATATTTATTTTATAAATACTTTACTTGGTATTGGTAAAGTCACTACTGGTATTTTACATAATACTTTCAAACTGTATAGAATTTTCAAGTAAAACATATGTGAGCCATCAACATCTATTAATTTCAAACTTAGATTTAGATACCATTGGCCAGAAATTGTTAACATTGTCTGAATTAAGGCTAGAGTAGGCTGAAATTATCAAGACGTAACAGAGTATTTTATTAAGCCTTTCATAACAATAATAATACATTACATTTCCATAATATTTACATTTGTAGCATGTTTTCATTCCCTTTATCATGTTTACTTCATGGAAAAATTATCTGAAAGTACTCTTGGTAATTGCTAACATCTCCATTTTTTGAAAGGAGGAAACTGAAGCTCATGGAGATTAAATGACCTGCTCAAAGCCATGTATCTAATAAATCAGAACCTGGTCTACAAGCTGTGTTCATTGACTCTAAATAAAGGATTTTTTTTTTAACCACATAAGATCAAAATATCTCAAGTGAATACTCCTTAGTACTTAATGTTTTACTTTTTATGTGTTTATTTTTACTAAGTATTACCAGGTTTTATTAAAGGTTTATTACTGATGAAAAAAATCATTTCAATAATTAGACCTTCCTTGGTAGTGTACCTTATGTCCTCACTAATTACCCTCACACTATGAAGGATCATATTAAAACATTGGCCCAAGAGATACTCTATTCTTTGTTGTCAAGTTGATCCAGCAGCTTAAGATTACATCACTTTTTTTAATAAGACTTTATTTTTTAGAGCAGTTTTAGGTTCTTAGCAAAATTTAGGGGAAAATACAGAAATTTCCCATATCTACCTGCTCTGCACATGTACAGCCTCCCTCATTATCAACATCACTCACCAGAATGGTACCTTTGTTACAGCTGATGAACCTACATTGATACATCGTAATCACCCAAAGTTCATAGTTTACCTTAGGGTTTGCTCTTGGTATTGTACATTCTATGAGTTTGGACAAATGTATAAAGACATTATCCATCATTATAGTGTCACAGAATATTTTCAGGGCCCTAAAAATCCTCAGTGCTCCACGTATTCTCCTCCCCCGCAACCCACCCCCATGTAATTAGCCATGTAGTTGTTATTGATTAGTTATAAAATGGCAATGAGGATTTTTTAAATGTTAAGTTAAATTATTAACAAAGTGTATTTATCTGCATACAAACTTAGACTAACAGTTCTCATTGTTTTTTCAGTGCCTACTTTGCACGTCACTGTCATCAAAGGTATTATATCATTTGTTTCTCACAAAAACCCTGCAAAGTAAACATAACCATTCCCATGTTTCAGATGAGGAAAC